GCCATAAAAAATAATAATCACAAAATAACACTGGTTAAACAAGCCTTAGAGTGAAAGGATTTAAACTGTGATGTGCTCATCCTCCCAAAGTCAGACACTAACCAGCTGTAGGGATGGGTATCGTTAGAATTATCTTATCCATACACCTATTCATCCAGCTCAGACTACTACTGGTTCCTATTACTACTAAAGAATTGAGTTTTTTAATTATCATTTTTAATTTTAAATAATCAGTTAGACTTGTATACAGACAGCTTTTGTTTGAGCTTTTCCCCCTCAAGTAATCTTCCAATAATCTTTACTTCACCTGGTTCTGTGTCCAGCACAGCCTCTCCGTGTGTGTGTGTGTGTGTGTGTGTGTTTGTGTGTGTTTGTGTTTGTGTTTGTGTTTGTGTGTGTGTTTACAGCCTCTCCTCGCCCTGAGAGTGCAAGACATAGAAGCAGTGTGACCATGTATAATAAAACAGAAGCTAAATATACAGTGGTTAATGTTTATATAGTGACTGGCCACCACAAATAAATCAATGTATAGGAAACAACATGTCAATTTAACATATTTTCAGTGGCATGTTGATGATTATAGCAACTAATCGCGGCAGCCCTATTTGTGTCTCTTGCAACATGGCTCCACATGCTGAGGAAATGAGCAAGTAAGACACCAGATTGCGTGACTTGATAAAGACTGGAGAGGGCACAAGAGTACCAGTGGGCTACTGAAGATATGCTGAAACAGCAGTCATTAGGACGTATAGGAAGAGTCATACCACCAATAACAGAAGGCGCAGTGGTCGTCCTCAAAAACTGCCGCCAAGCACAATTCACTATTCATGTAATCTTGTATTGAAAAACAGTGCTTACCTGTGGAATCTGGTGTTTCAGAGACTGATTAGACAGTGTGAAGTAGGGATACCGCGATCATGGTTTTTTTGCCACTGATATCGAGCATCTATGAGTGAGATCGGATGATCCATGGCTGATACCAATCATTTTGGCATCCCTAGTGGCATTGCAGATGGCGTACTATATCAGTCTCAGACACTTTGTAAAAGTTCCACACGGCCAACATATTGTTTTATTTTGGTGGCCTGTCGCAATGCCACAAAGTGCTTCTCTCAGCCGCAGACACCAGAGTATTAATCACAGGTTTTAAGGTGATCGCTGACTAGAGGTATTAATTCCGATCTACTGATCACGTATTTTTTATGAAAATCAGCTGATAATGATCTGCGGCTGATCAATCCTGGGGCATCCCTAGTGTGAAGGACATAGTATGAAGTCAACCTCTAACAACTGAACCCAAGAGGAAAAAAAATGCTCACAAAACAGCATAAAACTGCACGTTCAGTGTTTCTTACAGAATGAGGTTGTATTTGTGCTTGGATCGGGTTAGTGGTGGTTGATCACATATCCAGTGAAACCAGTTCCTCCGCATGCACACAGCACACTCTCATGCAAACCCTGAATGACACAAATAGTGAAGACAGACAGGGACAGTAAAAACGTTACGGATGTCTTCACGGGCCACTGATGTGGCAGGATTTCTCCCAGTGCAGTCAGTCCAACTATGACAGACGGGTCCGTTGCCAATGTGTTTGTGAGAGAGAGAACACTACTTGAGAGATTTTTTATGTTATTATGAACGCAATAAAATACATATTGTAAATATGGACGTCACGAGAACTGATATTTCAGTAAAGAGTTTCTACAATGCCATAAGTATCGGAGGTGCCCTAGATGTTGAATGTATGAATAACACTACAAGCATCCTAGTCTGACAACAAACTAAAGGGAAGCATCCAGACAAAGTGAGCTCCAAAAGACAATATTGCTCAAGGTGGGAATGTGAAGCTTGCAGGTGTTAAGTACACTGAATGTGGGACCACAAGATGCAGACTCAGGACACCGAATAGGATGAGAATCACAGTTTATTTTTGTAGAGAACCAGTAAGGGGGGCTGAGGCCAATGTGGATCCAGGCTGTGGAGTTTCCAGAAGGGCAGGTGAGTAGTTGAAGCAGAGCTGGTTGACGTGAGTAATGGAGTCAGAAAGCAGGACGCAGGAACTAGACACCGGAGAATAGCAGGTTAGTGCCAGAATCACAAAAAAATACAAAGTAGTCTCAAAAATAGTCTGAGGTTTACCACGGGTGGGTAACGGACAATCTGGCGAGGAGTGGAAGAATGAACCGGTCCTTTATCCTGCAGCAGTGTAGGTGGCTTGATTGTGAGATGAGGAGCAGGTGAGTGATTGCAGCGGGTGTACAGCTTCAGACGGACACAGACAAAGACACACCCACAAAAGGAGAAGGGGAAAACATGGAGAAAACACAGGACCGTGACAGCAGGATGTGTAGAATGCACAAACCAATGCTGAAGATTCCTCACACACATCACTGGGTGAGTGGCTGCCATCTGGCAGATCTTTGGATGTCCACTCACCTGGTTGGATACATAACAGCAAGTGTTTTAACATCAACATGTGGAACGGTCTATTTTTCAATGTGGAGGTTCAGATGCTACATCAGTAAACAATATACCACATGCCCCATGACCAGAAAATAGGGTAAAAAAAAAAACACTTTCACCTCTGTCATTGGTCCTTTCCTCGACCCATGAAGGGTGGAGGTTGGTGGTAGAATTGGAGTGAGTATCTCCTCCTCAGCATCCTCTCAGGGGGAGAGGGGTAGGGGTAGAGATGTGTTCAGATGTGTGCTCATCAGATAGCAGTCTGTGATGGTCGATGGTCTTTTTTTCTTTTCTCCTCCTGCTGTTGGGGAGGGCATGTGGCTCCATCAAAAAGGGCTGCCCAGGTGGAGCAGAGTAATAAACAGCCGTGCTTCTGGTTGAAAGCCTGGTTGTCTGCATTGTGTTAAAGTCAACTTTCCCCTGGAACGTCCATTCCATTCACAACAAACAGCAGCCTTTTGCTGTCCCAGCTTTTGAGTCTGTGGCTATATCCACACTACTACGTTTTCGTTGTGAAACGCATCTCCTTTGCTACCTTTTCACCTCTCGTCCACACGACTCTGGAGTTTTCGAGAACTGAAAACTGACACTTTTGGAAACGCTGTTGACCCTGTTTTAGTTTGAAAACTCTGGGTTTGTGTTGTAGCCTGGACGGGCTAAAACTGAGACTTTTGGAATAGATGACGTAGATACCAACGGTCTCTCCTGATTGGGTCTGATCAGCCTGGTACAACGTGATAATGAATTACAAGTGTTAAAAGTTAAATTCAGCATTTTAACGCAACAACTGTCTTTGCTATTCCTCATTTGCAGTATTTTGTTCGACTAATTAAAGAGAAGACAATCTGCTTCCTGTTTACACCGGCTTGTGCATGCCTAGTGTATGTGAATAGTCATGTGATGTGTGTTTTCGTTTTTGTTTGAAAACACCATTTTAAAATGAAAACTTTGTTGTGTGGACGTGCCCGTCCTGGCATCAATCTACTAGAGAAGTTCATAGTAAGGACATTATGGACCCTTCTTAGTCTCCTCATCATCAAACCATCAACTGGAGAGGAAACAGAGACAAAAGATAATTAATTAACTATCCAACTAGTTTGTAATCCATGTAATGTTTTATGTAATTTAACTCAATTCCCAAATTTCTATCCTATTGAATAGTCAGTGGAACAGTTTAGGACAGAGGTCCGTAATAGGTGGGCTGCGGTCCAGACCCAGACGCTGTCCTAGCTAGAATTATTGAGAATTTATTAAATTAGCCTTTACAGCACTGGTCACATGATGCTACTCAGCCAATCATTGCAACTCGAAGGAGTGAGTGAGCTGCAGACACAGGGGCGATGAAGTCAGTGCCACAGAAGGACAGAAGTGCCTCAGAATATCTTTGTAACCTTTTGATTATTGATTAAAGATATATCCAAGGATGCACATGGACACATCATAAGTGATGTTCCTGAGGTCACTTGGTGTTTCGGTCTTTCAGGGTCATACACCCTCACTTGGGTGACCCAGCCAGAGTTGATCAGGCTCTGGCATGTGTCCCAGCAGCATTGGCCCACATGTCACTCCTCTGGAGCCACAGCCATCTGGAGGCTCTCTTGTCGGCTTCCATGGTCGACTTGATGGCTTTTCTTTTCTTTTTCTTATAAAGGTTTCATTTATAATCACTCCTTTTCTTTGTCTACAACCTTTTATGTTACAAACCAAGTCAATGCCAACTGAATCTGTATATTTTTCTAACCTTTTAATAATTATCATGATTTCATTTTTGAACACCATACTCATCTGAAGTCATCTAGCAAAAGTTAAGTACTGTAATTAGAGCTTTATCTGGCATCAACCAGCAGGAGATCAGGTAGAAGACACGATCTGCCAATGACCGCCCACAGAGAATCCTTCAGAGAAAAGTCTGCAGGCAAATTAATTCATCTTTTAATAATCCAATTTCACTCGTAGACATCTTAGCCGTATAGTAAATAGTCTTATCATATTCTTTCCCACCATTGCACGATTGTTTACAGTTTATTGTATCAGCTATTGATTAATACTGTTGTTTTTCTCCAGTTTTCATCATGGTGATTATAAGACATTGCATTTATCCTGTATAAGTAATTCTAGTAATAAACATCTTTATTTAAACTCGTCGTCTTTTTATGTCCCTTTCAAGTAGAGATCATACATCTGTTGAATCGAGAAGTCATGGCCTTATATTAGGTAATACATTTGTTAAGTTCCTCCCTTGAAGTGGGAAGTGGTCTAATTAATAATGATGTTTAACTTTTACAGTGCAGCCTTTGTACGCTGAAACTGTCTAATGCAGCTGCTGCAAACATCAAAGACCAGTTGTATCATTGGTTGCAGTTGTCTTCAATACTATTGATAGTTGACTCACTTTTCATCATCTGCTGTGTAATGCCAACTGTAAGAGCTGCTAAGCAGACATTTGCAAGGACTGTGAAAAAATGCATTTCCTGCTCACTTCCTGTCCTCCCTCTTTCTCTCTCTCCCTCTCTCTCTCTGTCTGTCTTTTCTGCAGCAGCGGTAACACACAGCTCTACAGGAGACAAAAAAGAAAGATCCACATCAACCAGCGGACACTGCCAGTGATCACCCATCATGCCCCGCTGCAGAGTGAGCCTCAGCACCATGATCTTCCTGGTGATCCTACAGGGCGCAGCAGTGGTGCTTTTCTGCGGCTGGTATCTCCAGCTCAGTCCCTGCGGCTCTGCTCCCTCCAACAACAAGGTTCATGTTCTTCTGCTGTCGTCATGGCGATCAGGCTCATCCTTCCTCGGTCAGGTGTTCAACCAGCACCCATCTGTCTTCTATCTTATGGAGCCTGGTTGGCATGTGTGGACCAAACTCCACAAACCCAGGGCGCGGGTGCTGCGAATGGCCGTGAGGGATCTGTTTCGGAGTCTGTTCCAGTGTGACTTCTCAGTGATGGATTCCTACCTTCCAGAGCACTACAACGTTTCCTCCTTGTTTATGTGGAGTCACAGTCGAGCAATGTGCTCACCGCCGGCCTGTCCTCTCACACCACGCGACCAATTCAGCGATGAGGCTCAGTGTTCCCGGACGTGTGATGCCATCGGCCTGCAGGCGGTAGAGGAGGCCTGCGGCACTTACAGTCACGTGGTGTTAAAAGAAGTGCGTTTTTTTGAGCTGGAATCCCTCTACCCACTTCTGCAGGACCCAAGACTAGACCTCCGCATCATCCACCTGGTCCGAGACCCACGGGCTGTGTTGCGGTCTAGAGAGCAGTCGGCCCATGCCTTCGTATATGACGACCCTACCGTCTTGGAGCAGAGAAGCATACCAGCAGGCGAGGTGCAGTATGAAGTCATGCAGGAAATCTGTCGTAGCCATGTGCGCATAAATGAGAGGGCCGTCCTGAAGCCCCCTCCATTCCTAAAAGGCCGCTACAAAATGGTCCGCTATGAGGATGTGGCACGCGACCCACTCGAGGAAATAACTGCAATGTATGAATTTGCCGGTCTGGAGGCGACCTCACAGTTGGAGGAATGGATCTACAGAGTGACCCATGGAAAAGGCAAAGGTGCCAGGAAAGATGCCTTTAAAATCACTTCACGAAATGCCACTGATGTGTCCCAGGCTTGGCGTACCATGCTGCCTCACAGCAAGGTCAAACGTATCCAGGAGGTGTGTAAAGGGGCCATGTCGTTGCTTGGGTACAGGACTGTTAACAGTGAAAAAGAACAGAAGAGACTTGACATAGATCTGCTGGTGCCCCGGGAACCGTATCAGTTCAGCTGGTTACCAGCTAAAACAGAGCATCCAAGTAATAGTTAAAACATGAATGACAAAGACATTATCACCAAGAGACCACACAGGACAGAGGGGCTGATGCCAGGGCCTGAACATACCGTATCCCATAAATTTGGAGCTAAACTGGAAAACAGAAACCAGATTCACTAAGATTTGCTGACATTATGTTGTTCCCTATACAGAGGCTTCTCTGTATAAACCAACCATCTCCTGATGCTCCGAGCTACACATCAGCAGTCATGTCTGGCTCATGCGCAACAGTTGTGGGTTGCAAAATGTTTTTATACAAGCCTCACTCTTGATTTGCCACACATGTAAAAAATTTAGTTGGAAACATTAGGGAGTTGACAGATAATTAAATCCTCTGAACACAAAAGAGGCTTTGTTTTTTAAAAACCAGCACTCATAAGTAGCTTTCTACTTTGTCTGCAGAGTTTGTGAAACGTGTGGACTCATTTTGGTGGTAGAGTGCACTGTCCCCTGTACATAGTGAATCTGGGCCTGGGTTTTGCACAGTGCAAGCATTCTGGTGGTGACAGACAGTCACATCAGGGGAGGTAAGGAAGCCAGAAAACTGCACAAGTTTGCTTTTAGCTTGATGTGCTGAATTTGAATCAGCAAAACAACTGTAGCTTCAGGCTGTAGATACTTCACTTTTCCCTAAATTAATCTCAGATCACTGGAATCAAAGTTAAGGTCTCCCCTTACAGAAAAATCATCAGGAATTTCACATGTGATCACATGTGCACATGGGAACATTGTCATGGTGTAATGTGTGAAGCCCATGTAGAGTCAATTGCCACCTGAAATATATGGGATTACATGTGAAACGCAGATTTAACATGAAACTTAGATTTACATGTGAATGTGAATCACATGTAAAATTAGCATTCACATATACGTTTTTTTTTTTTTTACCACGTGAGTTTTAAGATACACTTGTGGAAATATGTGAAATATTGAATTTCCCATGTGATTTTATTCGCAAGTGTTATTACAGTCCAGGGGAAATCTGGTTCCACTTAAGTATCTGAAAGTCTGAACAACTCACACATTTACATGTTGCTGCCACTCCTCAAGTATGATGTTGCCTAGTATAGCTGATGCTGCAGTAGCTTACTTAGTAGTAACGCATGATTGGTAGTTTAGGAGTTGCATCAAGATGTTTACTTAAACTGGCTGAGAAATCCGCTTCCTGGATTACCCAGTCTCTTAATTTATGTTTGTTTACAGAAGTTATTTTCTTTGTTGATTCATTAATAAGTGATGACACTGATCCACCAAATGACTAGTGTTCATTTGACAGTGATTAAAGATCAAACCATTTAGTCACGTTATATTGATTTACAACTTAAAGACTAACTACTGGTAACAGTTCGTATTTACATTCTCACATGTCGAAGAACCAGGGCACAGTAGTTTTCTCAAAACATCAAGTTTTACTTTTCATGTGCAGCAGAATTAAAACAATAACTACGTACCCCTTATACATTTTGGCAAACCTGACGTGTCCCAGTTGCACACTACTGCATACACCAGTGCTACAATTTAGTTACCAGCTACAAAACATCATAGAGCATTTAGCAGTTAAACAACTGGATGTTTCACTCTGGAGTCAGTGGAGAGCTGAATGAAGTGATTATTGGACTTGGTGGATGGAAACACGACTCCAAAAAACGCTAATGTTGCTCCATGTTTGCTGTATGTGCAGGCAGCTGTTTGCCATATCAGTTTTATAAGATGATAGCATGTCATTGCTGTATTCAGCGATAGTACAGCTTGTTTCCCTCAAATGGCCAAAAATCATTCATTGCCACAAAAAAAAAAAAAACAGAGCACAATGCTTTTAGAATGATTTAATACTCCTTTTTCTGGAGCTGTCTCCACATTGTCATGTGTTTATTTATTCCAGCTGAGAGTAGTTCCTCTCTTTCCTTAGTGTATAACACTGTTTGTCCATCAAAACACATTCTAAACCATGCACAGTCACAGCTGTCTGTATATTTATTTTTTCTTACTGTGCATTCGAATCATTAAGAGAGCTAGTATGTAGTATGGAACTGGGACACAGAGCTGGTTTAGCTTTACACCCTGGTACATGTGATGCACAGATGGAGCCACAGAACAGGGACTTCAGAGGCAACATGCATAATGTGATTCAGATGTTTTCTCAACGAAAGAGAGTTGAGCATTTAAAGGAAAAATTCCACCTTAAATCAGTTTAATACAGCTTCCACCTAGCAGGTCATCACAAAATACCAGCATGTCCTGAGCATTAGTGTAGGGTGAAATGTTCCTTTAACAAGTAACATTGACATTTTGAAGTCAGGGCTGCTGTTTGGCCTCGTCAGACATATTGTGGTGAAAGCATTTAGTTTAAAGTTAGCTCAATGGGAAGCTGATCAGCTTGTCGCTGCTACACACTGTACTCAATAGATTAACATTCAACATTATACAGTACATGTGCTGTGTCGGTAGGATCAGCAAGAGTTAATATAGCTGTAGATGAGAGTCTGTGAGACATGCAGCATGTGGAACAGAGTGTTCGCTGAGTACACTGCGCTCTGTCAGTGTGTGTGTGTGTGTGTGTGTGTGAGGTGGAGGGAAAGGGGTTAGTGTGTGTTAAGAGATGTTCATGGATTTTCCAGTGGACAGTGTGTGATGTTGCATGCTGGCCTGCTATGTAGTCCACCTTTTGCATTTTCAAGATATTGATTAATGTTGAAGTGTTGAAAGGAGACAGTTGAATTGAACACTGCACTCTGCTAACACTGTCTCAAAGCAGTGTTATGGTTATTGTTAGATACAACACTCTCCCTGGTATAAAGGTTTACATAATCAGCAATAAAAAGTTAATATATTAATCAATATACCAAACCTGTATTGACACTAAAGGGTGTCAACTGACATTTATAGATTACCAGCACTCTGTAACCCTTATCCATTTTTGTTGGCTGTGGTACTAATGATACAAGATAAAAAACACACTGGGGTATTTTTTTAGGGGTAAGAATAGATTTCTCTTCTCTCCTTTTAAGGGTCATACTGGTGTTCTTCACTGTTTTTTCTCATTCTCCACAAATCTCATATTTTATGAATGGAATTTTGAATGTGGTTACCTATCTTTAAAGGAGGTATTTGTAAGTTCTGCTATTGCTCCATAGCCAGCGTAAGCATTAGCAGCTATTTACTTACCAGTCTTGGCAAAAGCTTCAGCCATTGTTGTGTTTACAATATAAGAGGTCACAGCCTCTGAGCAGAGCTACTTCTTCAGGGCAGACTGGACCCTACAGCGACTCGGTATCGGAAAGTGACGGCACAGGCCGACCAGACGGGCTAGCTGGTTAGTATGCTAACTTCAGCAAAAAAAAAAAAAGCAGTGATAGAATAGAAGCAAGTGTTGCTTGACATAGCTGAAGGTGAGTAAAGTTATTAAGTTTCTAGACTGTTGAGTAAACAGCTGCTAATGTTGGCTATGTAGCAATAGCAAAACTTTCGAATAACTTCTTTAAGGAAGTAATTCCTTAATTCCTCCTTTTTTCAGTGTCAGAGAACAGTGTGTTACTTTGATTGACCTTTGATATTAACTTATATTATCGTTGAAAGTTAATGCTATTTCAGCTGCATTACAATACAACACGAATCAAACATAATAATATATTTATATTTATAATGTATAATAATTCTATATTATGTAGCTAAAGCAAAAGTCAAGTCTGCAAGGTCATTTTGATGCTGAACTGAAATCAATGCCCCGAAGGTGTAAAATCACATTCAAAAAAAGAAACAGATGTTATGATTCAGAAACTAAAGCACAATTACAGTAATATAAAATCTATGATTTGTACTAAAGTGTTCTAACACAGTTGCCAACGTACAGCTGTGTGACTGTAGAAACACGATGATAAACGCTGTCCATCACCATCATCAAAACACCACATGAGGGAATATCTTTTGGAAGAATGGTGTTCAGCCCCCAGTAGACTTAAGAGACTTGGAGAATCAATGACAAGGAGCACTGAAACTACTCTGGCGGCTCATAGTGGCTCAACACCACTAAGACAGTTAATGCTGGTTTTCCCTTTAATCTGTAGTTTTTGGGGACAGCTCCATTTATCACAAGATGAATTTAATAAGATGATTAATGGAACAGAAAAGAAGAAAAACAAGTCCATTTTTTTGTAAAACAAATTCATACCTCTTCTGAAACAATCCGTTTTGAATGTAAAATATCTCTGTGGTGGAACTGTTCACATCTCATAGATATTACGACAAGGTTGCAAGTAGACACTGACTCATTTTAAGGAGTCACAAGCCAAGTACATATTAAAACCAATATGGTTTTTGTACTGATCCTGGTTCTGCTGAGTGATGAAATAACACTAGTGAGTATATATATGATGCTTCAACAACAAAGAGTCTCCCAGCAGTCCAAACTTGTATGTGCTGATAAACTGACAATATTTTAATGTCCTAAGTCGAGAAAACTGAATATCAAGACAATATGTTTTTCACTGTGGGAATTGATCAAATGTTTCCATAAAGTGCCTGAACAGTTAACATGTATAATGTAATCAATGTGAAAGATATGAAACACTTTACTGTTCTGGTTAACCTCATCTTGCCTTTCTATTAAGTTTGAGTTTGCATGAAGAGCCTTTTGACAATGTCAGTGCCTTGTGGTGGGTTTAGCTGACAGACCTGTCAGTTTGTTCTTGTATTTATCTGAAGATTCATGAAGCAGAAACTATATGGTACTAATAATTAATGCAATAAATATTTACATGGAACCTTTGCTGATTTTTATTCTGTGGCTGTTGACTGAAAGCTGGTGAGAAACTTGCTGGTTTCAGTGTTTGTGAGAAGCTTTTCTTCAGCACATAATTTACATTTGGGCGCCATCTGTTGGTGGAGAATGAAATAGAATTTTAACATCTCTACTGAATATTTACTGTATGCTTGTTCTGAAGAGCAAAATATACCAAACCAATATCCATTGAGAAAATATCTTGTACAAAAAAAAGATTTTATATACTAACCACAAAATTATTCTTTAGTTTACCATCATACTACAACAGTATTGACTTATGATTTACTTCCTATTATTAGTCAATGTATGTTTTTCCATGTACTTTTCTTCACTATTTCTATTTTATGCTTCTGCTTTTACATAAGCAAACTATGGTCATTTTATGAAATATGATGAATTGTTACAGATTAAACTACCCAGCAGTATATAAAGTAATTTGAACAATCTCCACCATGACCAGTGACAATATTAAAATGATGTTTACATGGTAATGCATCACCAATAACAATCAGTAGGCCTATAACAAAATAATTCATTTGGCAGAGCAAGACGGTTCTGGGCTCAAACCTTGAGGACTTTCTGTGTTTGCATGTTGCACAGGTTTCCTCCAGTTCTCCAGCTTGACATGCAGGTTAATTGGCAACTATGTTTTATTACTTAAGAAAGTACATGACATCCTTACGCCACAGAAAAATAGATGGAGCCTAATATGTCTAACTGAAGAATTAAGATGAGAAGAGTCAACAGAGACACCAGACATCACTATAAAAGGGCTCATCTTTATATTGATCCCTCAGAACCTTTGTCAAAATCATAGAATAATCACTCCAGAACTTCTGTAATCTGAGACAAAAGAAAACAAGAGCAAGCATGAGATCTGTCACACTGGGTGATTCTACTTTAAGTGCATTTTACTGAAGCAAGATTTTAAATGCAGGACTTTCAAATGTAGTATTTTCTTTTTACTTTATACTCAACAACCAGTCTACATACTGTAGGTATATGTCATATACCTTTGTATTATTATTTGTATTAAGAAGAGGACCATTGAGCCTGCAGATCTTATTTTAGGAGAGATTTGAAATCATTATTGGATAATATGAACAGACAGTGTTATGATACCATGACTCATAAACTACTGTATTTTTTAATAGTTTAAGATTCAAGATTTTTGAGATTCAAGACTTCAGAATTTATTTGTGTTACTTGTATGTGCAGGGAAATACAGGATTGCTAACTCTACAAAGGTTATCATGTAATACAATACACTATACACTTTCCAGCCAATCAGGTTACCGCAATTCCGGTTGCCATGGTATTATATTTTTGAATAATACATTTACCACATTTAAATAATGTGACTGCGCTGCAGAGGACAAACTGGACTTCACATGGAATTGATTGGTCCCCAAAAGATGGCGTCTGTGAGGGTTCAGAGGGTCCTCTGGGTTATGATGATGTGTTGCAGGTTGTAGATGTTTCTTACCCTTTTTGTTTCTGGTCCTGGCTTCCTTATTTCATTTTAATTCTAACCCACATGGAAACATATTGTCATTGAAAGTGAAGATATTGCAAATGCATTTTCATGTGAAACTGTGGCGTTTGGGCCAACAAGAAGTTACACTGTGTGCCTTTTTTTTTTATCCCTAACAACTTTCTCCTCTCATTGTCTTGTATGAGTTAGTGGATAACGAACAGAATCCTTTTATACACAAATTTCAGTCACCTTGATCTTATTTCTGTTTTTGTTGTAGTAGTTAATGAAATAATTTCATGAAATCTGCACACTCCTAAAGGATAGGTTCACATTTAAAAAAAAATCTATCTTAATATAATACTCAAATGCTCATACCTACTTTGACATTGTCATCAGTTGCTGTGATTGTCCCTCCTTCACATACACACTTGACTGTGAAGTGATCACTCTTCATAACACTGCATTCTGAGGCTCAGCCCAAGCTATGATGCTCCAGCAGTCAGAGTTAGCATAATTAAATAGGCATCTTCCAAAAATAGCCTTTCTAGTAAGAAATTCCCTCTTTGTGTTATTCTCCCTCCACTGCTCCTCAACAAGGAAACACTGTTTGGATGCACAAAACAAATCTCATCACTGTCTCATCACCCTAACCCAGAACCCTAACCCTTTAAAGATCAGAACTTTTTAAACATGTAAAACAAACAAAGTCATTCACATGCTCGGGAAGCATGGACTTCTGAACAGTTTCTTCCTCTTCTCATGAAGATGTAGAGGTGGAAGAGGTGTACCTGCTGATACTGAGACTGAGCATTACATAACTGTGGGTTTGATATGAAAAACAAGGAGCTTTAAAAGAGGGCGGGAGATTTGACAGAGTGCTAGTTAGTTTCCATTTGTAAAAATTCAGTGTAGGTTCAGTGATCTGACTGAAGCTCTAGGAGCTGCAGCTGGAATGGAACTGCAGACAAAGGATGCTGTGCAACCTGACAACACAAGAAGCACAGAGTAAAACAGGAACTAGATCATCTTTTCTTCAAAATAAAAGCTAGCTTTGAAGGATTGTTACATGATGTTCTTTTTCTTTTTTTGGTGTAAGCATTTTATTCTGTTAGAGCTCATGCTGGTGCCACCATAACAGGGCTATTATGCAAATTTAATGCATGTACGGAAAAGGAGTCTGTTGAAATGGACTACTGGCTTATCTAATTAGCTGATGGGCAGACAAGATGATGCCTCCCATGGGATTATTAACACTGTTGCACTACCACTAACTGTACGACTGACTGTAGAAAACTGATGTGACACCAACGTTGAAGTTTTGAAGATTGGCTTTGGGTTTATAACCCATCACCATCTTGGAAGTTAGGGTTGAGGAAAATTCAAATCTGGTTAAAGGGGAGGAGGCCAAGGGGAAGCTAGGGTGAAATCAGCAAATGGCCAGTTCTTTGGAGGCAGAGGCTGTGGAGGTTCCTGCTTGGTTAGTCTTTTTAGTACAATAGCAGTGTCTTCAGTTCTGTTCATTTATTTTGTGTTATGTTGCATTTTTCACACTAGCCACAAAAAATCATTACATTCAATTCATACTTCCCTAGTGAACTGACACCCCTAACAGACAAATATGTCCATCCTGTGAAGATTAATATGTCTATGACCTTTCTGTGATGACATGTCAAATTCACATTTTGTGACAATAACATTTGCAATAAATCACATACTTTATTTTATTACCAACCATTTCCCAAATCATACCATAAGCCTCCAGGAACTGGTTGCAGTTCATTTTTGGAACACAGTGAAAATCAAATCAAATCAGAGACTTAAAACAGTTTTTAGATAAATAAGTTTGTCCACAATTTGTCAGCTCACAAAGCAGTTTCTTATTGAGCTGACTTTTAAAGCTTTCTTTTGTGGTTGCATTCAAGGACACTCCAACATCATTTATAACATTTATAAGCATCGTCTGCAGGAAATCTAAAAACATTTGCTATACTTTGAAAAATGGTCAGCAGTAATGTAAAATGAATGTGATTTGATGTTAATAAGCTAAAACGTGCGATACCTTAATGCTATGTTTATTTTATATTTGGTAGCTTAAAACAGTCCAATGCCAGTGTTGTCATAATTCAGTATATATTTAGCCTATATATAGGCTAAAGAGCAAAGATCAAGTCAAAAATGTATTTGGAAACATGATCTGAAACGTAATGATCTAAAATTGCTTTACAGGTATTTAACTACACAAACCAAAAATATGAGTTGGTTGTATGTATTGTTTTGGAGGTCAGGTTGTTAATTATATCAGGTGTTTGACCTGTATTTAAAGGGTGGTGGTTCAGGCTTTATTTTGAAATAGATGCCCGGAAGTTTCAATAGACAGTAGTAAAACAAGCTGTTAGAAGGCGCAAAGTGGTACACCTGCTGTCAAATACTCACCTCCCACTCTGTGAAACTAGAATATGTCAATTGGGTAGTTATAACTGATTCATGAAGGTGACAATTTCCAACTATATCCTATCCGCTGAAAGCGGGCTAACGGGCGGGTAATGGGACCGTCAGACCAGGAGAACAGTTTTTGCTCCACTGGCCGTTGGTTGACGTTTTCCCGCAGATCCTGTCTCTCTCTTGCTGACATGGCAACAAGCTGCAAGTCAAGTCAAATGAGCGAATTAATAAAACCATGATCGGAAGTGAAGTGGATTTTCAAAATAAAACCACACAAGGGCAACTGAAACTGTGATGATGCATTTGGCCTTTACGTTAAAGAAGTAAAAAATATACTAGACCAACAGACTTCTGCTGTTGGGCTCGAGCAGCTGAAAACTCAACGCACTTTCCATAATAAAGAACGTAATTTACTTTGATATTTCAAATTAAATGACAAAAAGTTGCAACATGTGGATTAAGGTTTGTTTTTTTTTTTGTTTTTTTTTAATCGGACCGGAAGTTCTGCGTTTACTGTGGCTAACTTGACACTGTTGTGATAACGAGGTGCAGCTGCGGTAGTTGAGTAGCAGTAGTCGTTAAGGAGCGGACAGAGGACCGGGCAGAACAGGAGGCAAGATAGCATAAATGGCCCTAGTGCCTACGGAGTGAAGAATGGGCTCCACGCCATCACAGCCATGGCTAGATCCACCAACAGAAGCGCCAAGGACGGGGACTCACGGGTAACCGCCCCCACTGACCGCGGAGAGGTGCGGGACTTGGCCGAGCCCCGGGAACTGTCTCTGGAGGAGGTGCTGAAGTCCTACGAGCAGCCCATTAACGAAGAGCAGGCATGGGCGGTATGCTACCAGTGCTGCAGCGGGCTGAGGGTGCCCCGCCCGCCGGCCGGGAGAGTCAGCCAGGTGAAGGACCCATCATCCATCCTCCTACACAAGGACGGAACTGTGTCATTACAACAGGAGCCTCAAGACAACGGTAGGATAGCTGACCGTTGTTGTACCCAACTTCCCCCTGCCCTTTGGCTTGGTTTAACAGCTCTAACGCAAAACTCACATACAAAAAAGTAAATTCTAACAATATGTCCATGCTGTGAAAAGTAAGTTATCGCTTACAGTTTGACATAACATTGTATTTGAAGCATTAGGAGCCATTTTTAATTCGGCATAACCTAATAATCCCGACTCAAAACTTTCTTCTAGCAAAATTTCGACTTTTTGAACTGTTCCCCCTGATTTCCACTGTCCTCCTCCAGTAAACTACTCCATGCTAGGCGGGACAGAACACTGCGAAACAGTTTTAGTGTTATGAATTTTACTAAATTGCATCAAGTTTTCTCTTACCATATCAGCGCGGAATTTAAGAATGTGAACTTGTGTTTCGTGAAAGACCTTGAATCATGTTTACCATGCAGTAGCCTTTAATGAAAAACATTGCCACTTTAATTTGTTTGAATTTCACACGGAGTTTGGTGCACTGGAACATCCTGTTCATAGGAGGGAACCAGAAGCATCGATGCTATCCTGTCCCGTCTCAAACGGCATTATATTCCTACCTAATCGACCTTCATTTATATTATTTGACAACCTTGAGCTGCCCTCACACAAACACTGTCTTTTGATCCGGACATCTATGTCGATATTTCGTTGCACTCCCGATGCCAACAAGGATGACTTGTATTATGCCGGTAAATGGTTAATTATTCATAAAGCATAGCTTCACCCTAGCATCCCCTCTTGCAAAGACTGTTTTGGAGACATCAAAGGGTGGCTGGAAGCCCAAAGGATTTTATGCAGTCTTCTAGTTGTTTCTCCCCCCGAATTTAGCCTAATGCATAATATCCTACTGTATGTGAAGTACTGTTTATGCCAGTATTGAAGGCCTGGCCCACAAAACCTGTTCCAGGAGTCTGACAAGCAGAGGCAACTTAACTTGGAAATGGTTTTAATTAGGCCTTGTATTACATATAGCTGTTTTGAGACCCTTTAGAGATACGTAAAAAATTAAGCATAAATCAAACACACCTTATAGCACTTGTTAAATGAAGCCTCCACTTTTTCACCTCTAATTGCAAAAGTCTAGGGCAATAACACTAAAGCAGCATACAGCCAGAGTATTTGAATTACCGTGTGCTTAGTCCCTGCCAAGAGGCGAGAGAGGCACAAATGATATTAAAAACAAATGTGGAGAGGAGCAGGAATGTGAGTGATCAAATCTCTGTAGTCCCGGCTCCTGTTGACTGACTAACAAGTTGCCACAACCACACGAACAAACACCTCTGTGCTGTTGTTCTTCCTAGTTACAGCTGTGTAGCACCTGTTAAGGAATCTTACCAGGAAAAGTTCAGTTTATCTCCAGGCAACACTCGATGTTGCTTGGCAACAGACTGACATCAATCTTAAAACAGTTAATAGTTTGCTATATCATAAAATTCATGCTTTGTTAAAGCAAAGGTAGAGGGACCCAGTTCCCCCTCGCGGATCATAGGAGGGACACTGGAACTTAAGATCCGGTGAACTATGCTGTTAACAGCTGCAGTCACTTAACTGTGATCATTCATTCTCAGCTCTCACTGTGAGGATATGTTCACTTCTCATTAACACAGTTGTTTATCCTTGCAGTCTGTATTGGTTTCTGTTCCTCTGATCCATAAGTAAACACAATCCATGTCAAAGCAGTGGTGCAAATCCCTTAACCAGCTTGAAGTGAGTCTATTACAGTCAGTCTGTCTACGTTATTAATGCAGCTCGTTAGCTACAAGGCCATTTTCTTTTATTAAGTGCCCAAATTCATCCCAAAACAACAGGCCAGTTTTAGACAGTTGGGCTGTAGAAGAATACTGATACTCAACAAAATCTTCTTTTTTGATGCTGACTATTTTTTATTTCCTTTTTTTTCACATCCTTACAACTCACACTGCCACACTGGACCTAAGCCTGGACCTACTTTCAAACCACTTTCAAATGGCAGAGCAATATATTCATATTTTATATTAATTTTTTTTGTTGTAGTTTGTTTTTGACATAATCTCCTTAAAGTTGATCTGTTCCAGTATCCAGAACGTCCTTTGGGGTCACCCCATTGTTTCTGTGTCCAAAGCTGCTGTAATGTTGCTAATATTTTTCCTGGTTATCAGTGTTTAGTCATTAATTCATTAATTCATTAATTTTCTATTTTAAAATACTTTTTAAACAACAACAGTGTTCACTGCACTTTTTTTTTTTTTTTTTTTACATTTGTTTCGACAAAATAATACTAATGTTTTCATTACAAATAATAATATATAGGCCTAATACATGAATTTCATAATATCTCAGTATTTGGTTTGTCCATCTTTTGCTCACAGCGGGCACTGGAGCTGTGTGGACAGTTAGTGACAGTCAGGACTCCTTGGTCTTCTTTTGTCTTTAAGTAGTTCCTGCAAAGCTTTGAGGTGTGTGGCTCATTATCCTGCTGCAGTGTGAATCCTTCTCCACAAAGATGAGGGTGGAGCATGTCTCTGAAGAGTGGAGATGTTCTTCTCCTTGGTCAGGGTGGAGTCAGTCCAGGCGTGAAAATTCCACCACCATGTTGGTATTAGTCTGTCCTTGTCGTCTCCTTACATCCACCCTCTGTTACTGCCATACATCTCACACTTGGATTCATCAGTAAACAGGACTTCTTCCAGTCCTCCACTGTGAATGCTGGTGTTTGTTGGCCTTGTTTCCCCTCCTGAGAAGTGGTTTAGGAACTGCTCCTCCTCCTCTGAGTCACAGGACCACCTTCTTCAGACAGGACTTGTGCCGACTTTCTCTCCTCCTTTATTTAGAAAACTCTGTATCTGTGATGAAGGTACTTTTCTATCTATGAGGGGACTAAGCTCCAGTTGTTGTCAGTTGCTCTGTGGTCAGTTGCTGTTTGGTCTGTTGGTGTTTGGTCAGTTGGTGTTTGGTCAGTTGCTGTGTGGTCAGTGATGGTGTGGTCAGTTGGTTTTTGGTCTGTTGCTGTGTGGTCAGTTGCTGTGTGGTCAGTTACCGTGCGGTCAGTGATGGTGTAGTCAGTTGCTGTGTGGTCAGTTGCTGTGTGGTCAGTTGCCGTGTGGTCAGTGATGGTGTGGTCAGTTGCCGTGCGGTCAGTGATGATGTGGTCAGTGATGATGTGGTCAGTTATTGTGTGGTCAGCGATGGTGTGGTCAGTGATGGTGTGGTCAGTTGTTGTGTGGTCAGTGATGGTGTAGTCAGTTGTTGTGTGGTCAGTGATGGTGTGGTCAGTTGCTGTGTGGTCAGTTACCGTGCGGTCAGTGATGGTGTGGTCAGTGATGGTGTGGTCAGTTGCTGTGTGGTCAGTTACCGTGCGGTCAGTGATGGTGTGGTCAGTTGCTGTGTGGTCAGTGATGGTGTGGTCAGTTGCCGTGTGGTCAGTTGTTGTGTGGTCAGTTGTTGTGTGGTCAGTGATGGTGTGGTCAGTTGTTGTGTGGTCAGTTGCTGTGTGGTCAGTTGTTGTGTGGTCAGTGATGGTGTGGTCAGTTGTTGTGTGGTCAGTTGTTGTGTGGTCAGTGATGGTGTGGTCAGTTGCTGTGTGGTCAGTGATGGTGTGGTCAGTTGTTGTGTGGTCAGTGATGGTGTGGTCAGTTGTTGTGTGGTCAGTTGCTGTGTGGTCAGTGATGGTGTGGTCAGTTGTTGTGTGGTCAGTTGCTGTGTGGTCAGTGATGGTGTGGTCAGTTGTTGTGTGGTCAGTTGCTGTGTGGTCAGTGATGGTGTGGTCAGTTGTTGTGTGGTCAGTTGCTGTGTGGTCAGTGATGGTGTGGTCAGTTGTTGTGTGGTCAGTTGTTGTGTGGTCAGTGATGGTGTTGGATGCAGCTGATCCAGTTCCTGTGAAGTGTTTTAGAGTTCGATGCCCTGCCCTCTTAGAGACCTTTGGTCCTGACATGATTTAACACTGAGAAAGCTCCTCTCTGCTCAGAAGAACTATTTGACTTCTGACACTTTCACTTATTTTTCCCACCATCACAATGCTACTTAGTGAGCAGTGATCTGCCGAGAACCCGAGGCCCAGTCTTATAATATAACAGGTGAACACTGGCTGAGCTACATGAACGAGCCTCTGATGAGTAAATCAAACCCACCTGAGTGTCACCTGAACCCAAGCATCAATGGAAGAGAGACAGCTCAAGGAAATCTGACCTTTACAAAGACATTGAGTTGGTCAATGTCCCAAATTTACTTAAATCTGAATTATGAGCCAGAAATAGAATCTTAAACATTTCTTCATTTTACAGAACTTTCTGATTATTTCCAGGTTTAGATTTTCAACGTGGTCTCAGACTTTAGGACCCTACTGTACATACAGAAACACAACTCAGAAACACTCAGGGGACGTTCTTATGGTTAAGAAGCATACCATACTGCGATTGCACCAGCCCTGGATTGATTCTTTGCTGCATGTTATTCTCTTACTCTCATCCCTCATTTCCTGTCACTTCTCTGCCGGTCTTCTCCAAATACAGACATAGAATACCCTGAAAATAACAACCCACATGACACAACACCCAACCCACCACATGCACAGTTATAAAGATTTTTAAAGAACTAATTAATTTCTGCCAGAATAACAATGGAAAAGCAATGTCCATGCATGCCAAGATGTTGCATCAGCAGTGTTCATCTCCTCTTAGATATTCGCATAATGGCTGTAGGGGCTAAAATTGTCCATTAATTGTCCTGATCTGGTGATGTCCAATGAATGTGCTCAGTACAAATAAACAGTTGACTCAGTCGGGCACTTAAATCAACATAACGTCAGTGAAGAAACCATAAATCTTTACAAATTCACAACAAGTGTCCGAGTGTGCAGTGCAGCATCATCAAGCCACCAAGTCTGCTGGGTGTCCACATAGTTCAAAGGACTTCTCAGAATGGAAGAGCACTGTCTCTGTGAGGATCTGACAATGAACTGACCGGTTATATTAGGTAGTGGTTTCCATACTATTTTTGACTCTT